CCAGTATGGTGACATCCCATAAACATACCTCTTGGCAAAAAGGCAAATTCAGACACTGATTCTTACAAGCAGTTCTCTGAAACAGGAGGCAGAAATGTTAAGAGAAAATTCAGAGTATAGCAGCCAAGAGACATTCACTGAAACTTACAACTCTTTTGAGACCCCAAACAGCTTCTGATATTACTAAAAAAAACCAAAGCCCAGAAATCTGGATCTATGAGAGCTGGCTACACCCATTCAGGCTGCTTCCATTTTTCCAACTTTTAAAAACAAAACTAAAGGCCTCACAAGTTGTTTATTTAAGTTGTCTTCAAGTAGCCAGTTAGACACCTCTGCCTTACAATCTCTCTTCCAAAAAAAGGACAAAATAACCGTTTAAAGTGACAGCATCATTGCACCTTGCTGGATAAGATGTAATTGAGTTTTAAACATCATAATTTCACAATTACAGTACTGTTAAATCCCCTCACTTTTCCAGAGAAGGTCAAATTTCTCCACATTAATGAATATATTTCACATTTATTTAAAAATGGACTATTGTAAGCTGCTTATTCTGCTACATGATATTTTAAGTTTAATTTGATTTATGTTAAACACTTTTTTTGGAGTCAGTGATTCACTGATTTTTTTTTTTTTACCTACCTGCTTGCTGACATCACTGCTTGTGCTCATCATGGCATCCCCAGCTGAAAGCATTTGTGAAAATGGCAAAATCAATATTCTCTATCAATCAGCACCTAGGCCTAGAATGTCTCTGAATGTCATGTATTGTGTTTTTTTTTGTCTTAGTACATAATAAATAGTATTACAAAGAAGTCTATGTATGAAGGCAATTCTTGACCTTACCTTAATTGGGTAGAAATTTTCAAAAAATCATAGGTCTTTTAGAAAACTTTAAGACATCTTGGAAAAGGGATATTTTATTTATTTCTGTGTATGTGCCATATTGGTAAAGGAAACTGAAGTTTATACTAAAAACAGGAGAAATTTTAACACGTGTCCATTTTAATACCACAACAACAATCTTTGCAATGACAAATATTCAACAACAACTCCAGTCAACTCTTGGGAAAAAAAGTGATAAAATGATTCCAGTGCGAGAAGATAAAAATCCTAAGAATTATCATTCAAATCAAGACAATAATCAGCATCTTCAAACACCTAACAATAATCAGTGAATGCACCAAAATTTAACTGTACTGGTATTTCCACTAGATTTTTTTTGATTAACAGAACCATTTGATAGATCTGCAGACTGGCAATTGTGGAAAACACAATTCCTAAGATTTTAAAGTGTTTCAATCTCAGACACCAAATCAAATACAAAACAGGTTCGTACACTTCCCCACTACCCTGGAAAATTAGAGTCTTTAAGTAGCTTAATTAATGGCCTGGGTCTCCTACCTGACGCTTGCAACTATGGAAACCTATATTGAGAGCTCATATGCAACAGAATTATCATTGGTCTCTCACATAAGTTAGTGACTGAACTTCTTTCAGTTGTTTGATTAAAGCTAAGATTGTGTCAGTTATTTGACATGTCTGAGCAGTCTCAGGACTCCTGGTGAACTCAATCACAGTAAAAGTGATTGCACATCTTGGTAGTTCAATGTTGCGCAGTCCAAGGCAGAAAGGATTTTGAGGGTATTTTCAAAGCCAGATCTTTGGAATTGAATAATTGAAATTGCTTGCAAACTGACTTTTGCCGAAATTCGGTGACCCACCATGTCACTAATGTCTGGATAGGTACTATCTTGGCTGCATCAATGACTTAAAGTTCAGTATGTGGGCTGTTGACCACAGTTTGTCTGCTACCCATATTTATCTCATGTGTATTTGGGATCTTAAAGTATACATTGTAGGTTGTTTTACTGTTCTAACTTTCCAGAATAAAGTTTGTTTTTGTTTGTTCAAAATCATCAATCCTTGTGATTTTATTCTCTTGGTAAGTAGCTGGGATCTCAAACTTAATCTGTTTTAAACAAAAACAAGTATTGCCGATGAACCAGACTGTAACATAAATTTGCAGCTTCTTCAGGGATTATAACACCTGCCTGGTTTAAAACCCGTTACATCTCAAAGCACTTTTTATTTTGACAAAACATCATCAATCTGGAAAATTGAAACCGAAAGAACTGCGGATATTGGAATTCCGAAACAAAACAGAAATTACTGGAAAAGCTCAGCAGGTCTGGCAGCATCTGTGGAGAGAAATCAGAACCTTCCTCAGAACCACGGGTCATTGGATCCAAAACATTAACTCTGATTTCTCTCCACAGATGCTACCAGACCTGCTGAGCATTTCCATCAATTTCTGTTTTAGAACCTGGAAAATTAACTCTGCTTTCCTCTCTTGGCAGAAGCTGAGAATTCCAGTACTTCTGTTTTTATTTCATAGTTCCAGTATGCGAGGTACATTGCTCTTGCAATAGATTTGACTGATTGTCATGGCTAAGAGGGAGAGGTGAATTGAGTTATTTTAACTGTGCTCATCTCCTATCCATTTTTATAAATCTGTTTTATGAATTGGTGGAGGTGTTTTTCCCCCAAGGTCAGTTTTGTGAAGTCTACCTTAAAAAGGTTCCTCATCAAGTTCTTTAGGGTCTAAAGAAAATCGGTTTTGTTGTTGCATTCAATACTTGGGGAATGGTTCACAACACACATTCTCTCACACACTCTTTCAAGAGAGACAGAAAGAAAAAGGAAAGGAGAGACGTTACATATTATAAATTACTTAAAAATCAGATTTCAGAATCAATTCAAGTGCATTAGGAGTCAAAGTCCAGGTGAGGTTCTTTCAATTTCAGTGCAGAGAAATCTTTCTTTCGAAGGAATTCAGATGCTGTCAGATTGCTGGAGTAATCAGTGTAACTGGGAATTGGTCCATTCCCTTCACAGGGGAAACAGCTTCTGGGGTAGGTGGGACCTGTACAAGCTGGTTGGGCTGCATCTGAACCAGAATGGGTCCAGTATCCTTCTTGGAAAGTTTGCTCGTGCTGTCGGGCAGATTTTAAACTAACCTGGCAGGGGAATGGGGCACGGAGGAGGTCGAATCAGATATAGAAAGAATATTTGGACATTCCAGTAGACAGAGAAAATGTGGGCATGATAAGGCACATAGGAGGTCCAGAAAGTAAAATTGCATTTATTTTAATGCCAGGAGTTTGACTGGTAAGATGCATTGATCAGCACATGGGAGTATGATATGGTTGCAGTCACTGTGACATGGTTGAAATTAGAAGGGCCACAAAATATCTTTGACAGATGGGATTAAGGAAAACCCCAAGGCATTTTATAAGTATATTACGAGTAAAAGGATTACCTGGGAAACAATTGGGCCTGTTACAGACCAAAGGGGCAACCTGTGCGTGGAGCCAGTGAACGTGGGTGAGATCTTAAATGAATACATGTCATCTGTATTCACAGAGGGGAAAGACATTACAGCCGGGGATTTCAGTTGGGATGGTGAGGTTCTAGAAGATGCTTAACATTAATAAGGAGGAGGTAATGGATGTTTTAGCGGGCACGGAGGTGCACAAATCCCCAGGGCCTCAAAAGATGTATCCTAGACTGCTTAGAGAGGCAAGGGAGGAGATTGCTGGGGCCCTGATGGAGATATTTATACTTTGTTGACCACAGGAGAAGTGCAAGATGACTGAAGGATGGCTAATGTGGTTTTTCTTGTTCAAGAAGGGCAGAAGGGATAGACCAAGTAACCATAGACCAGTTAGTCTGACGTCAGTGTTAGGAAAATAATTGGAAAAATATTCAGATGGATAAGATCAATCAACACGTGGAAAGACAGGGATAGCCAGCATGAATTTGTTAGAGAGAAATCTTGTCTGACTAATGTAATAAGAGTTTTTTTGGAAAGGTGACTGAATATATTGTTGACAGCAGTGCAGTTGATGTGGCTTGTTGGATACCAGTGAGGTCTTTGACAAGGTCCCACATGGAAAGCTGGTCCAAAAGGTACGAGCTCTTGGGATCCAATTCAAGTTGGCAAACTGAATCCAAAATTCAAATAGGAGACAAACAGTGATGGTAAAGGGATGGTTTTTGCGATTGGAAGCCTATGACCACAGTACAACAGGTTTGGATCCTTGCATTTTGTTATGTACTTTTAAAGTGAGATGCAGAGAAAGAAAGAGTCAACATTTCGACTCTCCTTCAGTTTCTGCCAGACCTGCTGAGTTTCTCCAGCATTTTCAGATCTTGTTTCAGATTTCCAGCATCCTCAGCATTTTGAAAATGAATTAACAAATGAAAAAGTACAGCACAGGAACAGGCCCTTCAGCCGTCCCAGCCTATGCTGACCATCATGCCCTAATTAATCTAAAAACAAACCTACCATTTTCGATCCATATCCCTCTATTTCCCCCCCCTATTCATGTACCCATCTAGGTGCCTCTTAAATGTCTTCAATGTGCCCGCTTCCACCACCTCTTCTGGTAGTGCATTCCAGGCTGCTCCCACTCTCTGCTTGAAAAACTTCCGTTGCACATCTCCCTTAAACTTTCCCCCTTTGACCTTGAACCTGTGCTCCCTTGTAATTGAAACTTCAACCCTGGGAAAAAGCCTGTGATTATCCAACCTATCTATGCCTCTCATAATTTTGTAGACCTCTATCAGGTCTCTTCTCAGCCGCCGTCTTTCCAGTGAATACAATCCTAGTCTTTTTAACCTTCCCTCATAGCCAATACCCTGGAGACCAGGCAACATCCTGGTGAACCTTCTCTGCACTCCCTCCAAAGCTTCCACATCCTTCTGGTAGTGTGGTGACCAAAACTGCACACAAATACTCCAAATTTTCCTTTTAAACCAGTTCAGTGTGTGGACTTGTAATAGTAGAAATAGTGGATTACAATTCCAGCCAGTAGACCATTCCTACTGTAGTATGTAATCTTTTAAATAATTAATTGAGCCGTGGAACGGATAAGGCCGCCTCCCTTCATTGGCTGTGAGGATAATATGGGACCTCCTACAGAGTTCTACAAGTTTCCTCTTGAAAACACGCAACTCCTGTACGATGGACCGATAATTAAATGTTCCGGACAGGAAATTAAGCTCGGGAGTTGTGCTTTTTGCTTCTCTTCGTTTAGCTGGACCTCAGGTTGGAGGCTGTAAGACCCAGTGGAAGGGTAGGGCTGGCCTCCAGGAGGAAGCTCTGACACCTGTTATAGTAAAGGAGGAAAGCCTGGAAGTTTCACTGGACCGTGACTTTGAACACAGCTTCCCCCCGGGGGGGCAAACAAGGAGCAGCTGAAAACATTGTGTCAGTTTCGCTGCGGATTTCTGACCCTCGGATACCGCGTGTAATGTGGGAGTGCGTGTGAGAGAGAGATGGGAGCAGGGGCTGGCCTGAGATGGGATTTGCGATTCCCGGCTCTCGGGTGATCCAGTCGAAAGTGAAGCGGGTTTCTCCCTCAAGCGACACCAAAGGATCTGGGCAGGAGCAGCGAGATGCAGCCTGACCTGCCGCTATTCCTGCTGCTGGCTGGAGCCCTCAGCGCGGTCACCTCCGATGTACCTTCACTGGAAGCTCAATGTTCCCATGAGGTGAGACTCCGACCGTATTGTGAACCTTAATATTTTTTTCTCACCTGTTTCCATCCTTCGCTATTAATTCTCCTTCCCCTCTCACAGGCACAGCTATTGATTGTTGCTAGTGTTTGTGTGTGTTGTGTTTTTTTTTCTATTTCATTATTACTGACCGGGAGTTTCAGAATGGGTCTCATATACTTTCTAGGGATTGACCGTGTACCTGACACTTCAAACCACCCCACTTGGGGGGCTCTATGAAAGTTAAACGCTCTGGTCCCCACTAGGGAATTTCCGGGCCACTCTGGGATAGTGTAGAGTCCAATAGATTTCAGACATGATCCGCCCCTCAAGCTCTCTAGGATATGCCCATAGCGTTAGACCCGGGAGGGTGGCGAGACAGTTTGGGCCGAGTGGCCTGTTTTGAACTGTGCACGGTTCGAAATCTGAGCTCCAGCGTGCCTTAAATACGTTTAATGGGGGTTGCACGGTGGCTCACAGCGCCAGGGTCCTGGGTTCGATCCTATCCTGGTTTGACTGTGTGGAGTTTGCATGTTCTCCCCGTGACTACGTGGGTGTGCTCCGGTTTCCTCCCACGCTCCACAGATGTGTGGTTTAGGTGGGTTGGCCGTGGGAAATACAGGGATAGAGATGTATCTGGGTGGGGTGAACTTCGGAGGGTCGGCCTTGATTCGAGGGTCTGAATGGTTCACACTCTGGGGATTCTGTGATTTTTCTTTTTCTGTAAAAGTTAATGTTGTAACATATTTATCGTGAACTTTTTTTTTGAAAGGATATGTTGTATAGAAGAGACCGTAACATTACTGGCAGAATGTTAAGTTGAGGAAAATTAGTCTTTTTAATGCGTTGCTTGTTTCCTACCTGCTCAGTAACTGGAATTGAGACTTGATAACTTCACATTTAGTCATCGCAAAATGTGAGCAAATCAGAATTGCCCTGCAGGTATTTTGAGGTGTGATGCAGTTATGCTATTAAGGTGTGTCAGGCTGAGAGCTCAGCTTTGTGTGGAATACCTTCAATTATGCAGGAATACAGAAATGTTATACTTCAGAGGCACAGTGTGGTTTGCAGTTCATAATACCTAATATCACAGATTTCACACAGAGCTCTCAATACAGAGTTTACTATAGAGAAAAAAAATCAAGCCTCAGAGACAATCTCTTTTGCAAATATTCCCCTCCACTCAGTTAATGGAAATCTCCCCCATTGTGAGAGATTAGCATATCTCTTCAACTACTGACTTTCTTCCCTTGTCCTCCTCCATGTACCCTTCTCCTTCCTCTGGCCTGCATCCTATTCCTTCCCTGTTCTTTCACAGTTCAATTATCACTCTGTACATCAGTCTTGCTTCTGCATCGTATGTGTGTTCTCAATTTTGTTTATGCATCACCATGAGAGATCGATTAACACAGGGCAGCACCACCAACCAACCCTTAATTTCTTTTTGTCCACCTACAATTAGATAACTCCAGTATCATTGCCTGTTCAATCAGACAGTGCAATCTTTGTTCAATGTTGTGTTCACACTTGGTGGCTGCTGTTTTTGTTGATTTCCTTAATATCAGGTCTGATTTTAAAAAAAACTGGGACGACATTACAAATGCAAAAAGATGAGAAATCCTTATTTGTCAAAATTATAAGTAATATATGTTGGAGTGTGTTTTAAGTCAACAATGCATCTCCAAATAAGATGTTTCACACAATGATCACTTGTTGCCTTTTAACTTCATGCAGTTTGTATGTAATGTAGTCAGGAGAATGGTGAATCCTACAGCTTACAGTGCATTTCCAGTGTTGCAAATCAGTAAGTCGGAGCATTTTATTAAATATGGCACAAGTCCAAAGGAGTTGATTGTGTGGCAGAAGCTTTGTTACAAAGTAAATATTCTGAATGGAGACCAAAAGAATTGTGGATGCTGTAAATCAGGAACAAAAACAAAGTTGTGGGAAAAGCTCAGCAGGTCTGGCAGCATCTGTGAAGAGAAAAACAGAGTTAACGGTTTGGCTCCAGTGACCCTTCTGCAGTTCTGAGGAAGGGTCACTGGAACCAAAAGGTTAATTCTGAATGGAGAAATGAATAGAGAAGATTTGCCATTACCTCAAAGATGGTGGTGAGCAGCCTTCTTGAACTGCTGCAGTCTGTGTGCTGTAGGTGATCTACATTGCTTTTTAAGGAGGGAATTCCAGGATTTTGACCCAGTGACAGTAAAGGAACTGCAATAAGTTTCCAAGTCAGGGTGGTGTGTCTTGGAGGGGAACTTGCAGGTGGTGGTGTTGCCATGTATCTGCTGCATTCGTCCTTCTAGATGGAAGTGATTGAGTTTGGAATGTACTGTCTAAAGATCTTTGAATTTCTGAGGTGCATCTTGTAGATATAACACACTGCCTCTACTGAGCATTGGTGGTTGAGGGAGTGGATGCTTATGGATATAATTATGTACCTGCACCCCGAGGTCCCTCTGTCACAACACTGCCATTAATTTTATAAGCCCTACCCTTGTTTGTTGCACCAAAACACAATACCTTTATTCAGATTTAACTCCATCTGCCATTTTACAACCCATTGACCCATTTGATCAAGATCCCTTTGTAATCTTAGAAAATCTTCTTCACTGTCTCCTATGCTACAAATTATGTACCGTCTGCAAACTTGCTAACCATGCCTTCTATATTCTCATCCAAATCATTTATATAGAATGATATACAAAACAGGACCCAGAACCAATCCCTACGGAACACCGCTGGTCACAGGCCTCCAGTCTGAAAAGCAACCCTCCAACTTTACTTTGTCTTCTGCTGTTAGGCCAATTATGTATCAAATTGGCAAGCTCGTCCTGATTCCCATGTGACCTAACTTTCCTAATTAGTCCACCATTTGGAACGCTGTGAAAGGTTTTTCTAAAATCTGAATAAACAACGTCTAATGTTCTGCCATCATCAAACTTTTTGGTAACTTCCTCCAAAAACCCAATCAAGTTTGTGAGACACAACTTTTCTCACACAAAACCATGCTAACTATCCCTAATCAATTTTTGCCTCACTAAATATCCATAAATCCTGTCTTTTATAATTACCTCCAACCATTTACCCACCACTGAAGTCAGATTCACAGATCTAGAGGCCCCCGGTTTCTCCTTGCAGCATTCCTTAAAGAAAGGTGGCTAATGTTGTACCCTCCAGTCATCAGGCACCTCACCCGTAGTTATAGATGATGCAAATATTTCTGCAAGGGGTCTTGTAATTTCCTCCCTTCCCAAAATGTTCTGGGATATATTGGATCAGGTCCCAGAGATTTATCAACTTTTTATATTCACTCTTGATGGAAAAAATTGCTTTTACATATGATACCTTATCAGATCTCAAAGAACTTTGCACAGCATACATTACTTTGAAGTTTATTTTTACTGGTTGTTGAGATATGAACATTCAGGCAAAGGCAGCATTTGTTGTCCTTTCCTAATCACTCTCTTGCCTTTTAGAACTACTAAAGCCCATTCAGAGTCAGTGCAGCAAAAGTACTGTTAGCATGGGAAGGCAGAAGATTTTGTCCCAGCAAAGTGATGGCAATATAGTTCCAAGTCACAATGATGGATGGCTTGCAGGTGGGGCATTCCCCTGTATCTGTTTCCTTTGTTCCTGTATATGATAGAAGGTGCGTGTTTGAAGGAATTCTGAAATGAGTCTTGGTGAGTTGCTTCATCTACATCGCATATGGTTCACACTGCTGCCACTATATGCCAGCAACAGTGGGAGTGAATGGTTAAGCTCGTAGATGAGGCTTTGATCAAGTCGGTGGCTTTGTTCCGAATACTGTTGAGCCTCTGCAGTGTAGTTGGACCCACGCTTCCTCAGACAAGAGGAAAGTACCCCATCCCACGCGTCACTTGTCTAGTCTATTAGGGTCATAGAGATATACAGCATGAAAACAGACCCTTTGGTCCAACTCATCCATGCCAACCAAATATCCTAAATTAAACTAGTCCCATTTGCCAGCATTTGGCCCTTTTTTCCATCTAAACCCTTCCTGTTATTGTTTCTATGTAGATAAATGTGGTAGCAAAGAAGTTAGATGTTTTCTAAACAACCTGTTAGGCGATGCTATCGCACACCTCTGGACTATTTGGGACTTGAACCAGGGTCTCTCATTAATCTTTATTGATGGTCTTGGTTGAGGAAACCTTCTGTGCATGAAATCTTTCACATCCATTGGTGGATGGGAGCTCCCATAATTCTGCATTTCTTCAGTGTTGTGCTGAAGAACAAGATAGTTGGGATTTTAAGCTGTTGCTTTCTGAGACTGAGGTGAGACTGCTTGCTGTTGAGTCAAGCTCATGCTTTATATCAAGAGGGAAGTTTTCTTGAACTTGGCACCACCAGTAAGGTCTGTCATGCTGGGGGGAGTGGGGGTAGTTTGCAAGGGGGAGGTGAAAACTAAAAGGTCACCAGTGCAGGGACTGAAGTTCCATTCGACTGAAATCAATGGTTGCTGTTGTGACAGTGCAGTCACGACTTTTACATGCAGGGTGACCAGCGGGACCTTTGTATAGTGGTTAAGTCTCTTACAAGTTTGAAAAAGGCAGCTGAAGACAATAAATGTAATTGCCATTACAGATAATCAAATTTACGGTTTTCATGAACATCACAGTACGATAGAGATGCTGGACTGGAAGCAGCACTTTAAGGGTTAACATACACAGTCATAGTGTTTCTCAAAGAGCTCACTTTTTTCAGTTGGAGTGGTTGCAGTGTTTCAAAGACTGATTTGTTAAGGAGAACACAATGGAATGTCTAATGTGATAAATATTTTCATATAACTGTGCTTCATTGCCATTGTTGATAATTTGATGCTTTGCGTGGAGAACGAGTTACAGACCTTCGGTTTCAGACCATGAGTGCAAAGGTGGTCTCAAGTTGTGCTTAGACAGATCAGAGAAGCAGGACCCATCGTGGCATTGTGGGTTTGAATGACAGCTGTACTTGAGACCTTTGGAGAATGG